GGATTTCTTTGAACAAATAAAAATCCATCACATCACTTTAACCAATCTGATAATTTATACAACCATTCTTTTGATTCAAGTATAGCCCCAATATAGCTCACCATTCAAAGATTTCATTATACCATGTGCAATGATTTTTAAAAAAATATCTGAAAAGTGTTCAAAGTAGCCCCAGCTGACGGTAGCTAAATTGTGTACTGGCTGGTATACGCAGCGGGGACCATTTATGCAAGGTCTTCCTCCTATTTCTTAAGCGATGTCTACTAATGGAATGTTATCATATAAATCTATGCTACGATAACTCCTCTTCATTTTAAATGCATAATCTTTGCGAAATATAAATTTTTTCGGGAGATATTGCGCATGCGCGCGCACCGTGTCAGGCTTGCAATACGGACTGAGGAAAACTTCATAATATAGCTTGCTAAGGGAGAAAGGGGATGGGAGAATGAGGAAAGGCGGCAAGGAAGATATCTGGGGCGGTAGAAGAAGAAGGATTCTGAGAGATGGGACAGAGGAGGCAAGGGGAAGGACGCTAGGGCATAAAGTAGATGTTTTGTACCCTAGGCTAGGGCGCTCTGCTAACTATAAACACAGGTCTACTGATAAAAGTTTATAAAAGAAATTTATGCTGAGATATCCCCTAACCATATTAAATGCATATTTATCATAAAATATAACTCTTCTGGTGAGATATTGTGCATGCGCTAACACACTCACGTAGCCATATTGTGTACTGGCTCGTCACAGTATATGCAGAGGAGGATCTTACATGCAAGGTTTTTCTCCTGTGCAAAATATTATTTTTCTCGTGTGATATTGCGCATGCGCGCGCACCGTGTCGGGCGTGCAATACGGACTGAGGAAAACTTCATAATATAGCTTGCTGAGGGAGAAAGGAGGTGGGAGACTTAGGAAAGGCGGTAGGGAAGATAGCTGGGGCGGTAGAAGAAGAGGGAGGGTGAGTAAGGGACAGGGGAAGCAAGGGAAAGGACGTAAGGGCATAAAGTAGGGGTTTTGTACTCTACATGCTAAAGCGCTCTCCTAATTATAAACACAGGTCTACTGATAAATATTTATTAGAGAAATCTATGCTGAGATGCCCCCTAACCATATTAAATGCATATTCATCACAAAATATAACTCCTATTCTTTGCAAGTTCAATGAAAATATCTATACAACAAAAGATATCTAGCTTTTCCACAATTCAAGAGCAGCAAGCAGAGGTGGGGACATTTTAGAGAAAAGGTAATCGAGTTTACTTTTGAAACTTAATAAGGATTGAACACATACTGCATGGTTTGCAGTCCTGAAGGTGTAAATAAAACCAACCTATACAAAATGGTGACTATTGCTCAACGATACCCATTCTGCTATGATCATAATACAACAGCACTAGTTATTCAGCCTTCTCCTTAGGATCATCTCGGAGGTGAAGGAATACTAAACTAAACAGAAGAACGCCGCCCATCATTGAGAAGGCACTTGCATAGTAAGGGTAGGCAGACGGTATAAACCTTTCATACTGAGTGTGCTCCAATGGCCGCACTGACACCTGTGGGGAGAAGATTTCAACACATTACTATAATACAAATGCAGAAGACATCATATCTCACTAACTATGGTCACTCAGTAAAAATACAAATAATCTTAGTGCCACAGCAACTCCGACCATGGTAGAAAATTATTAAGGGCATTTCGTGTTTCATAATTACTACGTAACCATTTTCTTACACAAGTCATGTCACAGGAATTTTATAACCATATAATTTTTTAAATAGTAGGACATCCTGGCACATACGCATTAAAAGCAATTAGCGAAGCTTATCGATTGCAAGAAATCCTGTCCGTACCTGTGTACTAGCATACAGATGTGTGTAGCCAATTCTATTGTAGTCCACCACAAACTTGAACACGCCATAGACGTCAGGGAGTTTGAATTGTGCAACATATTTTCCATCTGATAATAGAATAGAAAAATCCTTAGTTAGACAAATGCACCTCAAGAATTAAATGAAGCATAAATTGCACTGATTTTTTAATACTGATGAAGTATAATTACAGGCCTCAATGCTTATTTTCAGATCTGGTTGTCCTCTCGGGCAACAAGAAGCAATTTTTACATGTCCGAATTTTGGTTTTACTTGTCCAAAATTTACTTGCAATCTAGAGCTGTTAAGGTACATTTTTAGTTCAGTGCATATTATATTACAGTATATACATGGAAAATCGTAATGAAATTCACACGTTTATTTTTTGCGTGCCGATTGCAGCTTTTTTCACAATTCCAGGAAAGAGTTTTGCTGTCGCTCTCTCATACCAGCGGTGACCACCCCCTACATATTCAGTAATGAACGTCATGCCCCACGCAACTGCAACTGAAACAATCGGTGCACCCCCCCTCCCCGTTCTTCAATCAATGCCGCCCCAGCCAGCAGGCACATACGCAGCCATGATGTGCACAACCACAGACACAAGTGTCACGGGCTACTTTTTCGGCGACTTTCGAAAATATAATGTGAGAAATGTCGTGCGATAGCGCCCTGGGTCAAAGGATGTTAGGAATTTTACACAACTGCAAATATTTTAGTTGTCCGATTGGGCAACTAGCCAGGAGAATAACTTGTCCGACGTAGACTTTCACTTGTCCCGGGCAATCGGACAACCGTTAGTGTCGAGGGCTGAATTATTAATCTACATGCTTCACATTCATTATACATAATTCATTATAACATGCAATAGAGACACGTCCACCATTTAAGGTTGTGCACAGCAAAGCAAGTACATTAACTATGTGGTATCTCAAATAGCAAAGCACATAGGAATTAAACATGTTATAACAATGTCTCAGTTAAAAAATGAAGTGATTTTTACTTTTGGGAGTAAGAGCTGTTCTCACAAAAGGATCAATTCTGACAAACTCCAGTTGAACATCTTCTGCCTTGAAAGGCACCCACTTATCTCCAATAAGCTGGTCAATTTCGATCGTGTAAATCTGGAAAACACAGGTTTGCCATATATTATTCAACCTTTAAAGCAATATGACACCTGCACAGTTGCAACAATGTGGTTCTTCAGACGTATATATTACATTTACACATTAGTGTACTGTATAGAATATCGTCCCTGTTAATCATCAAAATGTGTGATTTTTTCATTCCACGACATAGCAGCTGAACATTTGATAATGTTTAATGCATACCTGGAAACACAGAAACAACTCACCACATTTTCAAGGATTGTGTAGGCTGTGGGTGGTGCAGTCATGCCAACCTTTGTGTGTTTCACCTCACCAACTCTTAGCACACCCTTCTCATTAAAAACCCACTGTGACAGGGCTGTTGCCAACTCCTGGTTGCCAGATTTGTCTGTCCTGATGTTTTCATGCAAAGAAAACAATAGCTAGGTTTATCACACCATGATGACATGTAGTTGAATACTTGCTGGTTAGACAGATAGCATATAGCACTAGCAGCATGAAGCTCGAAAAGTATGGACATAAGTAAAAGAGCAATGAAAATGTTATGATAACTATGTAAACATGAATGATACCCACTTTTTGCCAGTCTGCTGATTGATGACGGAGGCTGCAAAGAAATCATTGCTGAATAGATCCAGGGAGCCAGAGAAGATGACTCGTGCGTTGTTACGTGCTTGTAAGGCAGCTATCAACAGTACATTCTTGCCAACTGCGTGAGGGTACTAAAACAGTCCAACAACGACTTAAGAGAGTCAGTGGAGCACAGACTGTTATACATGCATTTACCCAGTCAGAATTATGTGGCATTACAGCCTCACTCAACACCTGCTATAGGAGGCAGAAGTGATTTTCACTGGCAACGTGACAATTTTTCTACAAAATCGCACATGCCCAGTAGAAAGTCATTACACATTAAACTAACTAAATTACGAGATTGTTGCTCAGAAAAACTTAAAGGGATAGTAGACTAGGATTTTACTGCATACAACTGTACTTACTTTATAACAAATCATCTATACCCACACATATTTGTTACCAGATACCTAATTTAATTGTTATAATTAATTACACATCAACGCTACGAAATTTGAACGGCGCCATGACACCCGCGACCGTGCTGCCACCCTGAAAAAGTTGCGCATTTGGCAATTTATTTTGCACCTTACAGACCGAGGTCTAATCACAAAGGTTGCAATTATATTCATACCTAAATGCAATTTAACCGATCAATGTTAATTTTAGGACAAATTTATCCATAATATAACTGAAACTATATGTCGTTTATAAAACTATATGATATTACAATCCTTTTGCTTTTAAATTAATAAATAAGAAACACCCTCGTTCTGTAACCCTTGGCTGAAAAGTGGTTTTGCGCAACTTATCAGATCATGAGCTTTGAGTGGCGCCACCGTCATTGTAATCAAACTGTAGTCGTTAGTTTTAAAACATTTTTTAATATTTCTAATGGTGATTGAACTATGAAACTTTTTATGTAGCGTAATTTTAACCTCAATTAACTGAAAATAACCCTAGAACCTAGAGTAAACGATCCCTTTAATATAGCTGAATATAGTCTCCTGACAGCGGAAATATCACTGATTACACCAACATTAAAAATACTAAGATTTTATGCAGTATAGCATAGAAAAATGAATTTGACCCCATCGTAACAGCAATAAATTTTATCGTATGCCGATAATGCCTAATGGCAGAATTGGTAAACTTGTATTTGTGTTGGTGATGAATTGAAAACAAGTGCATGATTTGAGAGAGCCTGTACCATGTCTACGGCAGATAAGCGGTGGCGCCACAAGCTAATCCATACTTCCGGCTAGTTCAAGATGACAGGAAACAATTGTTTACCAAACTAGTAGTTCTAAACTGGCACTTTTTTGGTGAATACAAAGGTTCTAAGACATTTTATTGTTACTCTAGACAATTGCTGTTACTAAAGCAATAACGGTAGGTGTCATGAAAGTGGTGAAAACACTGGAAAACTCTCGCAATAGTTATTTTAACTGCTCACCTCCTTCACCGGCTCGTCGGGATTGAATGAGTAAGCCGTGGAGGAACCTGTCAGAATCTCCAGCACGAGTGGATTGTCACTGTCCGCAACCATCCCAACGCCGCTAAATAGAATAGGCGAGTTCTTCGTGTTTGGTCCAACAATGGTAGGTGCGTCGATCAGGTTCGCAGGTTCTGTCACGATCCGCGTGTGCTGCAAAATGTGTCGCGGTTTTCTATCTTAGCAACTGCAACTAGCTGGCGAACAAACAGGCAATAGCATTCCGGACTACCAACATCCAGACACTGGAGCTACAATTAGCATCATTAACACGACTGATGTAATGTACACTTCATGGTTGTTATGATATCTGCAAAATATGTGCACACACTTAAAGTAACATGTGATAGTGCCTCTAACAGTGGATACAAGTACAATGAATGTATACCAAGCTCTCTGCACCTTAAGGCAGAACAGATATAATAGTATCAAATAGCTGACAAACCTTCGTGATATATGAGTATTCATGGTATTTTAGACTCATTTATTTGTATTATGTTCAAACAAGACAGGGTGCAAGACTTTTCCACATGCCATCTCGATGACACTGTGATCAAAACTGGCTCACCACCATACCTTTCCGCTGTCACTAGCGTCATAATTGAGATGGTCGATGACAGCCGTGTTCTCCTCATCCAGTTCTACACCACACTCCATTACCAGCTCGCGCATCGTGTCACCGACCGTAGAGTCCGCAGCCACAAGCACGTTTCCGCCACCATCTATAAAGCTAGTGATGGCTTCAACCGACAGCGAGCCTCCAAACTCTAAAATAATAAATTGCGGGTGTCAAAATTATCATGCATACACTATGGTCACATGCGATGAGGCGCTGTAAATAAGTATGCAAGTAGAGAGAACTGGAATCCATGAACAAACTAGATAAAATCCAGTCATTTTATAAAACTAATTTAGTTTCAGCTGTCAGTGGTCTATGTACTACATACCTTCAACTGATGGTGAAAACAAAATCAAGTTGTCATAGAAAAACTCTCCATATTTGATGAGTGCCAGGTTAGAATCATCAGCCAATTTGAAATTTAGATCATATCCTCTATCTAAAACAAACAAAATTAATAATTAATAATTAGACAATTTCATGTTACGATATGTTTGAATACTCATCTGCAAGATGGCAGTTTTCTTTTGGGACTCTAGAAATGGTTTCTATGACATAATAATCATTACAGAAGATTACTCGTCGTCACCTCCGAAGAAGACCTGATGTACCACGTACATGATAAAAACAATTTGTATGCGATTGCCTACAATAAATGTGTTCCGAACAATAAGACCTAGTATATCGCAAGTGCACTGGTCTCTTATCAACTGATCTGAATGCAACTACCGTTGCTTCCAGTTCCAAAAATATGTACAGAGATGTGCAACAGTTACATCAACTAGATTTTTTGCTTGTTAGGAATCACAGTCATACTAACTTACTTCGGTCTAATAAAACTGTTACAAATCGTTCGGAGAAACCGTCTCTATCTAGAATGGAGTTTAGCACGGGCCTGTGCTGTGAGTGTGATTGTAGTTGTAGTGTAAGCTCGGCTATCAGTATCAGTTGGCCTGCACTTATAGTGTATAGGTAGCTCCAAGAAACGGTCTTGCTAGGGTTAGAAGACCATTTCAAACATTGGCTGCAGCTAAACACGTAGTTGTCGTATTTGCCAAGTATCGCCAAAGAACAATATACCAAATGAATCAGTATACATCTGCATCTGTATCTACGATGCGCTCATTACTTAAGGGGTTACAGCAACTTTTTTAGACAAATGCTATCAAAATCATAAATTCGTAAACATGGCGATTAAACAATCGTGGAATCAAATTGATATGCTGTGAGAATTAGCAGATTATACCGTGAATTAAGAGACATTCTAGTTTAGAAGCAGGACAACTGCAAGTTAACGTTCATATTTCAAACAAGGCAAGTCAAAGATGGTAATACTACTAGTAAGGCCGACCTAAAAATTACCTTTGGTTCGGGTCACCCGCCCGATTTCACATTTCAGAGTGATAAAATGTGCGACTGCGGTCACTTTTAGAGGGCTTCAAGAAAAAATAAAATTCAAAGATACCGCCTACCGATCATACATATATTCAAATAATCGACTCTTGTCATTTTATTTACCTAAGGAGAGTTCCAAAATATTTATAAACAGAACTTCGTTGGCGAGAAGTGAAACAGTTCCTACCTACGTTTCCTAGAATCCTACAACGTGAAACAGTCGTATCGAGCCTGGGCCGGCTACTTCATAAACAGAGCCTGAAGGTCGTATGGCGCGGCGGCCGACTTTGATGTACGCGATCAATTGCGTACTATATAGTATACGCATGCTATTGTGCTATACGCGGCCGCAGAGCCGTTTACACTTCGGTTACTCGCTCGTTTAAAGGGACGATTAATCGAGCTCCGTTTTTGGAGCAATTCCTAACACTACTATCCAGTACACGACTGGTGTTCACATTTTGAAAACAATGTCATGTTCATGGCTCCTGCATTTCAAGCTGTATATGTTTAACTTGTGAAAAAAAAATTATATTCCTGCCTACCCATGTTTTTACAGAAAAAAAAGTTTAAAAAAAAAAGTTATACCGACCTACCTACCCTAATTTTCACAATCCATGTGACCCGAACCAAAGGTATTTTTTTGTTTGGCCTAATTGAATAGTTTTATTTGAGATATACCTGGAGTTATTAATCTAGATCTGCATAGGTGACACTGATATGTTTTTGTATGGAAGCGTGTCAGGCTGTATTATGTATAGTCAATCAATCGCACATTAAGACTTTGGTAGTAAATACATTTCGTGTTTATTAACCTTCTTTTTTTATTGAGACGTTCCAAGTGCCTGAGCCGCTGAGGCTGTGTCAGTGTTAGACCGAATAATTCTGTCCCATATAACCTTTTTTATATTTTGGTGAGGGTTATATTGGGACAGAACGGGGTTCATTGAAATTTCGTGAGATCGCATGCAAAATGCATGCGCTGAGAATGCGGCCTGTACGCCGCTATTGGCGCGGAAAAAAAACTACCGTTCCCTTCTTCATGGCTTTACCTTGCTACTGATATGTGTATACATTCACTTCAATCGTTATTCACTTCTTAAAAGATTGTTTTTCAGAAAGACCACTTCGTTCCACTTTCATAAATCATTCGCCATTTACAAACAATCAGACCAATCAGAGCGAGTCTTATAATAGCCCCTGGTTCTCGCTTGTATCTGTGGCGCTGCAGGAGGCCTGATAGACTCGCTGTGATTGGTCTGATTGTTTGTAAATGGCGATGTAATTTAGGAAAGTTGAACAAAGCGGTGTTTATGAAAAACAATCTTTTAAGAAGTGAATAACGATTGAAGTGAATGTATACACATATCAGTAGCAAGGTAAAGCCATGTAGAAGGGAATGGTAGGTTTTTTTTCGCGCCAATAGCGGCGTACGGGGCGCATTCTCAGCGCATGCATTTTGCATGCGATCTCACGAAATTTCAATGAACCCCGTTCTGTCTCAATATAACCCTCACCAAAATATAAAAAAGGTTATATGGGACAGAATTATTCGGTCTATGTCAGTGTATGCAGTATAGGCTGAGTATAAACCGACCAGGCTCTCCGACTAGTTACACGGCGGAGGCCTCTCGCTACGTAGTGTTAAGCGAGATGGGAACTTAATTGTGGCTAGGCTGAGTACAGACCGTCGCAACATACTCTGTAAACTTACCAACCAGTGACCTAAAGAAGACAGAATGAGTCTCTCTAACCGACATGCTATCTAACAACACTAATGTCTTCTTTCCGGCTATGGCGACAGATAAAACTGCTGAAAATGCCAATAACAATACAATTCTGTAGGAAACCATTTCGCCGGTTGACACGTCTTCCACAAATGGCCTCGTGAACACGAGCGCCACCTGTCGGCAACACCTTGATCTCTTCATAGATATAATAGTCCAAAGGGTTAGCTCAGTGAGCTTTCTATCTTTTTAGTATAAAGAGATCATTGGTTGAGCCCCCATGTGGAGATGCTGTAGCTTGTTTAGGAATTTCTGGTGTAATTCTAGCTGCTTCCGTGTACACAAAATGCACTCTTTAATAATAAGACGGCAATGCGCCCTCACTGACATATAACAAGAATATGAAATTTAAATTAGCCAATAGACGGCGATACGTGTGCTACATAGCATTTTATCCATAGATATCATAATAACAACATGTTGTTATATGATATCTATGATTTTATCCATAGATATAATATAACAACATATAATGATATCTTGTTATATGATATCTATGATTTTATCATTTACTGACAATTTGTCATTATTCACCCCTGATAGCATCATTGACTAAGAATATCAAGACACGACACTTCTTGATTTTTGCGTTCTCCTGATGGAAGTTGCTCTAATATCGGTGATTTTTTTTAATTAGAAAAGTGTTAATTATTGGCAAGGAAAACGAATTTTAGAAAATTTAATTCAGATAAAAAAAAAGAAAATCATGTTTTTTATGATTTTATTTATTAAAATTCAATCACAAAAATTTTAACAGGTACATAAAATATACAGGTACAGAGCTTCATGCAGTTATAGTAATAAGGTGACAGCCACGCCACATACACTAATACATATTCTATATTTATATCATATCGTCTCTTTTCACACTCCGCCATACCGATTCGTTACCTACCCCTTTCTTCGAATGCCTCACGTCATCTGCAACCACCATCTCCCTCCCAATTTATCTCGAGACATGCACTAACACACTAACGTAGCCAGATTGTGTACTGGCAATTGTATACGCAGCGGGGATCCTACATGCAAGGTCTTCCTCCTATTTCTTAAGTGATGTCTACTGATGAAATGTTATTATATAAATCTATGCTAGGATAACTCCTCTTCGTTATAAATACATAATCTTTGCAAAATATTATTTTTCTCGAGAGATATTGCGCATGCGCGCGCACCGTGTCTGGTGTGCAATACGGACTAAGGAAAACTTCATAATATAGCTTGCTGAGAGAGAAAGGGGGTGGGAGACTAAGGAAAGGCGGTAGGGAAGATAGCTGGGGGCGGTAGAAGAAGAGGGAGGCTGAGCGAAGGACAGGGGAGGCAAGGGGAAGGACGCTAGGGCATAAAGTAGGTGTTTTGTACCCTAGAGGCTAGGGCGCTCTGATATAAACACAGGTCTACTGATAAAAATTCATTAGAGATATCTATGCTGAGATACCCCCTACCCATATTAAATGCATATTCATCACAAAATATAACTCCTCTGGTGAGATATTGTGCATGCGCTAACACACTAACGTAGCTAGATTGTGTACTGGCTCGTATATGCAGCGGGATCTTACATGCACGGTCTTCCTCCTATTTCTTAAGTGATGTCTACTGATGGAATGTTATCATATAAATCTATGCTAGGATAATTCCTCTTCATTTTAAAGGCTATCACCCACCTAATTATCTCCCTTTCCATCGACCCGCATGTCCCCATCTCCCGATCAATATTCTTTGCTTTTTCTCTTTCTCTTTTATACTAATTCTCAATCTTCTATATAGATCCTCACTGTTGCACTGCATTTCCCCTCCAATGCCCATTTTTATCGACATCTGGCTTCCTTATCAACCTACGATTTTTCGGGCATATCCTTCACCTTCAGACGACATCTTATCCAGGAGTTCAGAAAGCGAATAAAGGACTTAACTAGTGTGTGTGTGTGTGTGTGTGTGTGTGTGTGTGTGTGTGTGTGTGTGTGTGTGTTTGTTTGTTTGTTTGCTTTTGTGTGTGTGTGTGTGTGTGTGTGTGTGTGTGTGTGTGTGTGTGTGTGTGTGTGTGTGTGTGTGTGTGTGTGTGTGTAACACAAAATGCACTCTTTAATAATAAGACGCCAATGCGCCCTCACTGACATATAACAAGAATATGAAATTTAAATTAGCCAATAGACGGCGATACGTGTGCTACATAGCATTTTATCCATAGATATCATAATAACAACATGTTGTTATATGATATCTATGATTTTATCCATAGATATAATATAACAACATATAATGATATCTTGTTATATGATATCTATGATTTTATCATTTACTGACAATTTGTCATTATTCACCCCTGATAGCATCATTGACTAAGAATATCAAGACACGACACTTCTTGATTTTTGCGTTCTCCTGATGGAAGTTGCTCTAATATCGGTGATTTTTTTTAATTAGAAAAGTGTTAATTATTGGCAAGGAAAACGAATTTTAGAAAACTTAATTCAGAATAACAAAAAAAGGAAATCCTGTTTTTTATGATTTTATTTATTAAAATTCAATCACAAAAATTTGAACAGACATAAAATATACAGGTACAGCTTCATGCAGTTATAGTAATAAGGTGACAGCCACGCCACATACACTAATACATATTCTATATTTATATCATATCGTCTCTTTTCACACTCCGCCATACCGATTCGTTACCTACCCCTTTCTTCGAATGCCTCACGTCATCTGCAACCACCATCTCCCTCCCAATTTATCTCGAGACTGAGCGAAGGACAGGGGAGGCAAGGGGAAGGGCGCGAGGGCATAAAGTAGGTGTTTTGTACCCGACAGGATAAAGCGCTCTCCTAATTATAAACACAGGTCTACTGATAAAAATTTATAAGAGAAATCTATGCTGAGATATCCCTTAACCATATTAAATGCATATTCATCATAAAATATAACTCTACTGGTGCGATATTGTGCATGCGCTAACACACTCACGTAACCATATTGTGTACTGGCTCGTCACAGTATATGCAGAGGAGGATCTTACATGCAAGGTTTTTCTCCTGTGCAAAATATTATTTTTCTCGGGAGATATTGCGCATGCGCGCGCACCGTGTCGGGCGTGCAATACGGATTGAGGAAAACTTCATAATATAGCTTGCTGAGGGAGAAAGGAGGTGGGGGACTAAGGAAAGGCGGCCGGGAAGATAGCTGGGGCGGTAGAAGAAGAAGGAGGCTGAGAGATGGGACAGGGGAAGCAAGGGGAAGGACGCATAAAGTAGGTGTTTTGTACCCTACAGGCTAGGGCGCTCTCCTAATTATAAACACAGGTCTACTGATAAGAATTTATTAGAGAAATCTATGCTGAGATACCCCCTAACCATATTAAATGCATATTCATCACAAAATATAACTCCTCTGGTGAGATATTGCGCATGCGCCGCTAACACACTAACGTACCGTCAGCTGGGGCTACTTTGAACAGCGGGGCAACATTGAACACCCGGGGCCAAAAAAAATGAAATGAGAATTATGGCTATATGGGCAATCTTATTGACAAAATTATTTTTGCATATTTTTCTGTTGATGAATAAAATATTTTACAAAGTATTTGAATATTTAATACATGAAATAGGAGTCCCGCAGTAAATTGCAAATCGCTGACTTGAAATTGTAAAAAAATTAGCATTGGAAACTTTCACAAGTACAGACCACACAGAGGTACACACAACGTTCAAAATAGCCCCTAACACAGGGGTTTCTTTGAACAAATAAAAATCCAAAAAAATTATCACATCACTTTAACCAATCTGATAATTTATACAAC